TAGAGCAGGGTTTAGAGCTGTTGTGCATAGGGTCGCTATGAGTCGGAGACGACTCGATGGCACATAACAACAACAAATACATCATGGAGAGGATAAATAGACTGGCAAGCCTTTTCTTTTCCAGTGCTGTCTGGAATCAATTTATTGACCACTTCTTTAGGTCATTTGTCTGCACCTCTCGGGTCATGATTTCCATCATTTTCTTCCGGATTTGGCGGACCTGTTGGTGCTGAGCATAAGATATCTTCCGAATTTGATTGTTGCGTTTTTTTGTAAAACCAACACAAAATAGACGGAGCAAATAACCATCAGTGGTTTTGACATCAACATGTGCTTCTATCATGGTCTGCCATTGTTTGACCATGGAGCACATTTTGTCCCTGGTAAGATCCATGCCATGGAAGTTGGTGAGGCAGTTTTTGCCTTGAAGTCCTCAGTAATTAGCTTGAATTTTCTAAATGCAACTTCGTCATTTTGCAAATTAGCAAGGCTCACTTCAAAAACACAACCCTTAAGTCCATCATATGCAATTTTGGTTCTTTAAGTCCTTGTGACTAATGTCTTCCCAATATTTCTTATATTGAACATTGCTGGCACCTTTACATCATACCAATCTTTCTTAGAAAATGGATCAGCCACTTTCTTCTTGGCTCCTTTTTTGCCACCTTTTGTAAGGCGCTTGTTCTTGCCGACTGCCATGGTGGTGCCGAAAGAACGAAAAGCTGCGTTTTGTTTTAAAATTTTTCAACGAAGTACTCAATTGAGGCCACCATGCCAGTGGCAATAGGAAACATGCGAGCTGACATAAATAAAAAATAGTTCCCGGTTGAGTTGAAAATTTCTTATCTTAGTCCAGCCCTGGGATAAGCCGTTTAATGGCTCATCATAATCTATGTTTAACAGTAAGGTAATGCTGCTAATTGCAAATAATACGGATTTTCTGAATATATGCTAGAGTACAGAAAATGTGTTCACGTATAAGGTGTTAGAAAAATCAATCAAGAACATAGAGTTAAAGACTGTACAACCCAGAAGAACAGTAAGCCACTTTGCCAATCTTCTTTCTATCCTACTAATTGTTTAAGGGATTATAGTATATTACAATCTCTTTAAATTGATAAAAATTGTAAGTACATTATAAAAACTAACCTTACCAAAATGATAAATGTATTCTAGTATTTCACATACGGAAATAATTACATTTTGCTCATTTTAAAATCCTGAGTTTCATGCAAAGGAAGTAGTTTAATGAATTAAAAACAGTGTCTTGTATACTTGTACTGTGTATAGATTAAATCTGTTGAGTGAATAAATCTTTTATCAAGCCATAAACTCTAGAGGAGAGAAAAAGAAATTACAGCTTTGCTATTACAGCAGGGGCTCTTGGTGGCATAGACCATAAGTTGCAGTGCTAACCCAAAGGCAGTTCATATCCACCAGTGTCCCTGAGGGAGAAAGATAGGCAACCTCCTCTTAGTGATTTTCAGCCTCCTGAAAGCCTGCTAGTGGGTCAGCTATGAGCTGGTGAGAACTAGAGGACTTTACAGTGAAGACCAGTAAATGGTTCTAAGCTTTTCCTCCTTTTTAGGGTGGTGGTGGTGGTGTTTGTTATGTACTGTTAAGTTGCCTGTGACTCATAGCGACCCCATGTACAACAGCCCTAAACCCTACTCTATCCTATGCCAATCTTACTGTCTTTGATGCACCTACCCATAATACCCCAGTCACTTAATCAATCCAGCTCATCAAGGGTCTTCCTCTCTTGCACTGTCCCTCCACCTTACCAAGCATGACGTCCCTCTCCAGGGACTGACCCTGCAACATGTCCAAAGTATGTCCAGACGAAGCTTCAGAATCCTTGTCTCCAAGGAGTAGCCTGGCTTCACCCTCTCTAGGATGAGCTTGTTTGTTTTCTTAGCAGTCCATGGTATATTCAATACTCTTCTCTAGCACCACAGCTCAAAGGCATCAGTTCTCCTGTCATTCCTAGTCATTGTCCAGCTTTCTGAATAAATAAGCATGGACTTAGTAAATCTTATCCATGTGACCAATTAAGAGTCAAATGTCAAACTGTTGGGTGGGAAAACAGTAAAAGAGATACACCATGATACAAAATATTTCTTACTGTAGAAAACCTAAATGCAGTTATTATCTGTATTCCCAGATGCCATTATAATAATGAAATTCTAGCCTTAATACTTTACAATCATAAACATATGGGAAATAGATCTACAGTGAACAGAAGAAGCCCTAGAGGAACAAGAATCACTCAAAGCAGGTGCATTTTGTATAATGCTCATAATTATCTGTGAGGTAAGGATACTGAGACTTTGAGATGTCAAACATCATCTAGATTATCTCTAAGATCATCTAGATAGAAAATTAGAAAGATCGATGTTGAATCCAGATGTTTCTGATTTAGAAACTTCCGTTTTGGCTCAAGAGTTATTGGGAGGACTTTAGATTTTATTTTATTTTTTTTTTTTTTTCATGATTAATTGGTGGACTTTAGATTTAACATGTGGTTGAAGAACTTAATCCAGAAAGGGACTTGAAAGTGGTAAGTGGCCGTTCTGAAATTTTTTATTTAGAATTTTTGCCTTGAAACATTAGAAATTCTGTTATAATTGTATTTATATGGTTATGTTACAAAAAGAATTTGACATTTTAAGATTTTCTATTGGTCATTATTTGAGTAATTCCTATGATTTTAATGACTAAACCTTGCAAGGATATACCTTTTTTTGCTACTGTTTTTAACCTAAGTTTTGCTGCTAGCATCCTTTTCTTTGAAGTCTCTGTTTATACTTTTATTATAGCTGCTCAAAGAGTCATGGTGATGGGAAAAGGGCATGGACAAACAACTGAAAATTTACAGCTCTTCTCCTTTCTTACTGTAGTCCGATCCAATCCACTTGAAAACTTAATGCTTATTTCCCTTTATTTTCAAGATTTTTCTTGTTAAATTATACAGTATCTAGTGTTTTAATTAGTAATCTTATTGCTAATATTTCAGAGTAGAACAATAGGGATATTTAAAGTAAAGTGAGTCAGTCTTCTTAGATAGTAATTTGGATAAACAGCCATTTGGATTAGGAAATTTAAATGGTAAAGAATGGAAGAAAACAGCATTTAGAGTTATTTATTGTTCATTTCAGAATTGATCTTTTAATTGAGACTGATCAGATAAACTTTTACCTTTGTATTAACTTTGATTCTTTATATGTACTTAATTTAGTTTTGTTCTCTTTGATTTTTAGAACCAGACATAAGTTCTGAGGAATCTGCTTCCACTGTAGAAGAGCAAGAGAATGAAACTCCACCTGCTACGTCTAGTGAGACAGAGCAGCCAAAAGGAGAACCTGAAAATGAAGAGAAAGAAGAAAACAAGTCTTCTGAGGAAGCAAAAAAGGAGTAAGAAATTATACCTTCTTGTTATTTATAATTAAAGCCTATTGTTGTGTGCTGTCAAGTCAAAATGAACTCCTAACTGACCATCCAGTGGATTTTCAGAAACTGTAAATTGCTTATGAGGAGATTGCCTATCATTCTCCCACAGAGAACCTGGAGGGTTTGAGCTGCTTACCTTTGGGTTAATAGCTTAAATCCTTACCATTTAGCCATCAGAGCTCCTTTTAGAATTTAAAATGGTTAGCAGAACAGTGGTTTGAATAGTCTAAAAATCATTCTTTCTGGCTATGTACTATTTTTGTGTGTGTGTGTTTAAAATGTAAGGATGCTTAATAAGTTAACCACTGACAAAAGAAATAAAGGGAACATGATTATGAAAATATGACTGGAGACACTTCACCATTCTGTTCCTCCTACCCATCTGCCAGGGTGAATTGTCTTTGTGTGTTTATGTTAGAAAAAATAATAAGCCTTTAATTTTAAGAGTTATAAGGCGTTTCATCTTGATGATACTGTTATTGTCTAGAAAAAGTAATAGTAAGAATAAGCAAGCTATTTCATACACATAATCTCATAATTAACTGTCTTAGAAGATAGTTGGTATTATATTACTGTTTTACAGGCTGAGAAGACTATAAGTCCTTCACTAAGATCATGTAGCCAGCAAATACTGGAGCCGAAACTAAAACCTAGCCTTTCAGACTTAGACCTTGAATTCTTTCCTTACTGAGTTGCCTCTGTTGTAGTGGTTACTGCATTTTAACATTTTCTTTTAATGTGTACTTGTGCTGACCAGTGTTAAAGAAGTAAAGTGCCTCTTCTGTACCGAAAACAAATAACATTTTGGTTCACGTATTAACTCTTTTTTTATAAAAAAAAACCCAACAAGTGTTTTGTTAATGTTTATTGTACATATTTCACTTACTTTAATATTACCTGAATTAAAACGTTGATTTTTATACCTTCCCTGATAGTTTTCCTCCTTCTTACTGTGTAAATTCTTTCTGTATAGTTTATCTTACATAATAATTCTTTGCTTTCAAGTGAGAAAGAACAGTCTAAAGAAAAGGAGAAGAAAGTTAAAAAAACAATCCCTTCTTGGGCTACACTTTCTGCCAGCCAGCTTGCCAGGGCCCAGAAACAAGCACCAATGGCTTCTTCCCCACGTCCCAAGATGGATGCAATCTTAACTGAGGCCATTAAGGCAAGTTTTCCTTTCAAGCCTTTCATCTTAGATGTACTTTGTTACTCTTTTGCTTATTTTAAAAATGGTATACTATCAAGGCATCAGAAATTATGCTCTACTTCCTAAAAAGAGACTTAAATAGAAAAATGTCTTTGCCAGGTTTTATTTTTATAATAGACTATTTGGTAAGGACTACGTTTTTTAGTGGGTTGTGTTTTTTTGTGCTTTTTTTTTTTAAATTCATATACCCTACCAGGAATTAACTATAACTTTATGTGTATATTTCTGTAAATCCAGTAAGCTATAGACAAACAGAATATATACAGAATATATAATAAAGGCCATTAATATTAGCCTTGAACATAACAAAGATCATTAGAGTGGCACAGGATAGAAGATTCAGATCTGTTGCTCATAGGGTCACTGTGAGTCATTGTCGACTTGATAACATCAAACAATAGTTATGTGGAGCCATGATGGCACAATGGCTAAGAACTCACCCTTAAACTGAAAAGTCACTTGTTCAAACCTACCAGTCCCTCTGGAAGAAAAAGATGTTGCAGCTTGCTTTGTGAACGTTTATCCCCATTGCCATCGATTCAGAACTGACTCATAGCTGACCCTCCAGTGAGTTTTTTGGGGCTGCACAGAAAAAGGCTGCCTGTCTTTCTCCCAAGAAGCCACTGTGATTTCAAACTGCTAGAGATCTGGCGTTTCAGCCTGCAGTGCACCTCTCTATGGACTCCACCACCAGAGCTCATGAAGATGTACACTCTTGGAAACTGGATAGGGTAGTTTTGCTCTGATAGATTAGGAACCAACTTATGGCAGTGAGTTACTGTACAAGTATGATTTTTATTTGAAATTTGAAAATGTTAAATTTCTTTAACAAAAAAGTGAATACTTTTTATGCCAGGCAACACTGTGTATTGTTATTGTTAGGTGCCATCAGGGCAAGTATGAGTCATAGTCACCCTTTGAACAACAAATCTGAACCTTGTCCTATTTAGTGCCATCCTCACAGTCTCTGACATACTTGAGCCCATTGCTGTAGTCACTGTGTCAAATCATATGGTTGAGACTCTTCCTCTCTTTCTCTCTTTTCCCTCGACCTTTCTTACGATGATGTCCCTCCCTCTCCAAGGAATAGCCTTTCCTAGCACCATAGCCAAATATGTTTTATCATTTCTGCCTCCAAGGAGCACATATGGCTATACTTTCTCTAGGACATATCCAGTTCTTTTGGCAGTCCGTGGGATAGTCAGTTCTTTTCTCCAACACCACAGCTCAAAGACATCAGTAATTCTACTGTCCTTCTTATTCATTGTCCAGCTCTTAGATGCGTAGCAAGTGATTGAAAAGACCAGACGCATCTTAGTCTGCAAACTGACATCATTGCTTCTCAAAATTTGGAGAGGTCCTTGATGGCAGATTTTTCCAATGTAGTACATCTCCTGATACCTTGATTGCTATGTACTTAATTACTTATACTTTTACAAATTCTTAATTGAAACTCAGGGTAAATAATCTTGGAGAAAAAATTGTTTTAAAAAAAGAATGTATATTTTTCAAGCTGATTATCTAGTTACTGGTTATAGTTTCCACTTGCTTTACCATTTTGCTTCTAAAATACCTTCAGATATTTTTCTTGCTTATTTATGACTTTAATCTTTTCAGACTTCAGATAGCTTGTGTGAACATCAGAGACAACTGGTTTGCTTTAATTTATTAAACTCTTAATCTGAACATGTCTTTATTGAGTGCTTTTTTTCCTTTCTGTTTGCCTATTTGTTCCTATTGGTCAAAAAATAAGACTAAAAGTAGGACACTGACTCAAACATTCTCAGGGCCCTGTCATTAGAAGCTGAGTCAAGATTGGAGAGAGAGGGATTCACATCATTAACCAAGTGTGGTGTATATAGGAAAGAGCATTCAGCCTCACTGTCATTTGCAGAATGCACCAAGTCAGTACTGACCTCATATACTTGAAAAGGATTTACCTTTAGAAGATGCTTTTCTCTCTATTAAGACTTCTTAAACCTCTCATGCATTTGAAGAAAACTTTCAGTCTGGATAGCTTAACGATAGTGAAATTTCTATTTTGATGCCTTTTTTCAGGGATTTCACTTTCTAATTATGGTGTTTAAGTTTGAAGGAACACAGAGAAGGAACTAAAATTTTTTAAATGTTAAAACAGTATGTGAGACTTAAATAATGGTGTATTATGATTGTGTATGTATGTCCAACTAATAGCTATATAAAATGTGTATATTCCATATAGCATGACAAGTTTTTATTTTGGATCTCTTAGAATCATATTTTTAATCATATGGGAATCTTACTAGTTTGCTTCCATCACATTTTTAGTTGGGACAAGGGTGTATTTATTTCAACCTTTGGAGAGTTCTGCTAGGCTTTCTTCACTTTTTTTTTTTCTTGCAGGATTAGGAGTACATTCCATTAATTGCAATAGTTCAGAGACATTTACTTAAATTCATTGGTCAATATTAACACTTTTATGTAATACAGCCTGTTTTGGCTGGCCCACCTACGTGCAAATTCTTTTTCTTTATGGTTAAGCTATATAAAGTTACATTTCATGAGAGTGAATTGATGCTACACTCAGTTTTGGTAGTCTCTTTTTTGTTGCCTTGGAGTTGGAACTGACTCATAGCTGACCCTCTAGCAGGTTCCTGGAATTGTAAATCACATAGGAAGAGATAGCTCATCTTTCTCCCTCAGAGCTGTTGGTAGATATGAACCACCAGAGAGGTGCAACCTTTGGGTTAGCATTGCAACTCCCTTTAGACTATGTCACCATAAAAATGGAAATCCATGGACTGTAATATAAGTAAATATCAGGTGCTACTAACTGCTTCAAAATTTACACCATTTGAAAAAAGCAGGCATTTGCTATCTTATAGTGTGAGTGAACTGCTGAAGTCTTCTGTAGGCATTAATCAAAGGGAGTAAGTAGAGTGGACATAGGGAGAAGAAAATGAAGCTGAAACTTTTTGACTCAACTGTTAACAGTCTATAGAACTGAGTAGAACATTAATTACTTCACAGTTAATGGAACATTTGAGCTGACAAGCTTTTGGTTGGCAGATGAACATTTAAACCACTTCTTCACAGAATGTAATTCATGTAGTGTACAGTTTCTTCAGTTGTTTTTAACTATTTTAAGTTATTCCAGAAATATTAGTAATTCTCTATTTCTCCATAGGGAGCTCTGGTGGCCTAGTGGTAAGAAGTTTCACTGCAATCCCAAAGGCACGCTGTTCAAATCCACCAGCTGCTCCATGGGAGAAGGATGGGCAGTCTCCTCCCATGTGATTTACTGCTTCTGAAAACCCACTGGAGGGTCAGCTATGGGTCGGTTCCGACTCGACGGCACACAACATTTTATTTCTTCATATGAAATGAATTACCTGAACTATTGTTTAGTCTTATCATTTTAATCACCAGTTAGCAAGTACCCTTTCAAAGTAATTTTTCAAAATAGATGCAGTTAAAAACAGGTAGTTTAAAGTAATGATTGTTTGATAAATTTATTTTCTAGGCATGCTTCCAGAAGAGTGGTGCATCTGTGGTTGCTATTCGAAAATACATCATCCATAAATACCCTTCTCTGGAACTGGAGAGAAGGGGCTATCTCCTTAAACAAGCACTGAAAAGAGAATTAAACAGAGGTGTGATCAAACAGGTATCAAATGATTGTTCACTGTAATTATAAGATTGCTTCATTATGTATAACTATATTTAGTAAAAGGCAAGGTTTTTTGTTTGTTTTTCTAAAAAGTGTTGATAAAATGCTTAAACTGACTCTGATTTATTGTCTGTGAATAGGTTTCTAAAACATTCATACCAGTTGCCTTTATAAGTAACTACGTTTTTTTAAATAATTGCCTACTTTTGTATAGAGTCAAAACGACAGGCTAGTGTAAATTTTTCCAGCTTACACTTTCAGTTGAATTCTTTATTAAGGGCTATTTGTATTTTGAGAGCATACAGTACTGAAGATGAGAAGGCAGGGCTAAGGACTCTCCTACTGTAAGCAAAAATGATCATTGATTTTGTTGTATTTGTTAGTATTAAAGCCTGAGTTCCATGATTTGACTTAGTACCGTTCTAAATTAGCTTTGGAAATAGGCTAACCTCTTTTTATATTACATTATCATTGCATGTTATGAGTATCAGCAAATGAATTGAGACTAATTCATATTGACAGCAGGCATGAATCTGTGCTACTTTGCATAATGTGGCACGGCGTTTGTTAGAATCAAAAACTTAGAGCTGTCCTGCCCTCTTGTTTAATCACTCTGTCAGTCTTCTTGTTGAGGGTCTTCCTTTTTGTCTGATCCTCCACTTTTCCAAGCATGATGTATTTTTCCAAGGACTGTTCTCTCTTGGCACCAGATGTAAAAGTATGTGAGACAAAGTTTCATCATCCTTTCCTCTAAGGAGCACCTTGATTGCACTTCCACTAAGACTTGTTCTTTTTTTGCTCTTGTTTGTTCAAGTATTATGGTTTCTTTCGTTGTTATTGAACTATTTTAAGCTATTGAAGAAATTTTTAATTCTCTCTTTCTACAGTATGAACAGAAGTTACCTATTTATCTTTCTTGTCATTTTTATCATCAGTCTGTAAAATGACATTTGTTTACTACAAAGTATTACTTAGCCAATGTAATTATTAGAGCCACAGTCCCATCCAGTGTCATTGTATGGTCACAGCATTGCTTATGGACTAACTTTTTGGTTTCTCTCTTGAAACCCACTCTTACAGGACTGACTCTCGGTTTGATTTTGAGTGGCTTCATTTGTTAGCAGTATAGGTAAAGCTAAGGTGTGGAGGATCTTTAAATCCACTTTAATGATCTTTGAAAGTATTTTGTAAATTACAGAAATGCTCATTAGGACTGACACAAAGCCTTATATGCAGTGACTAGAAAATTACTAGTCTGCAACTCTTACCTAATATTGGAAAACAGGTAGCCTAAGACCAAGTGGGCTCTAAACTTTTGCCAAGAGGCTAGGTTTCCTCCAAAACTGAAGACTTTTCAGTTTCCCTAAAAGATGGTGTTCATTCCATAGACATTTTTTGTTAGCACTTGTCAGAAGATTATTTAACCTGGTATCACAATAGCATTCTTCTTCCGTTTTGTAGATGAGGAAGCAAAAACCACAGAAAATTAACTGAGTTGTCTAGAATTGAATAGTTAGTACAAGAAAGAGTTTGATTATTTCAAGTCTTTAACTTCTATTCAGAGTTTGGTCTCAAGTCTTTTAACTTCTGTTCACTGTTCTTTTATCTCTGAAGAGTTAAATAATATGTCATATCTTGCATTATCATTATCTACAGTCTTGTTAGTCTGGTGTAAAGTTTAAAATACACCATAATAGTTTAAAAGGAAAATACTGATTTATTAATTAAAATGTTAATTTTAGGTGAAAGGAAAAGGTGCTTCTGGCAGTTTTGTTGTGGTTCAGAAATCAAGGAAAACATCCCAGAAATCAAGAAACAGAAAGGTGAGATGACTGGTATAGTTCACTTGAGTACTCTAATGCTGTTGATAAACCATTATTACTACTGAACAAAAAAAGCAACTTTTATTAATGGTAGGTATCTTTCAGATCCTGTACCAAGTGACATTTTCCTAGAGTATGACTAACTTCTATTTTATAGAAGAAAGAAACAACCTGGAAAGGTTATAAAATAATATAGTTATCACCTACCTAATGGTGAAGTATGGGAGTCCAGGAATGGCACAAACGGTTATACCTTTGGCTGCTAACCAAGGAGCTGGCAGTTTGAACTCATCCAGCACTGAAGAAAGGCGTGGTAATCTACTTCTGAAAGATCACAACTGTTAAACCCTAAACACATGGAATCGCCATAAATTAGAATCAACTTGATGGCAGCAGGGTTTTGGTTTGGTGTATGAACTACACTACTTTATGGAAAATATTTTTAATCTAGAGGAAGCTTGCAAGTATATTTTCACTTTTTAAAAGATTTTTTTCTTTTTTAAATTTTATTATGTGTGTGTGTGTGTACCATCAAATCAGATCTGACTGGTACAGGAGGAGTCCCTCCTCCAGCAGAGCATCTATCTGGTGGACTCGAACTGCGCACCTCTGGAATTGCAGTGCAGCTTCTTGCCACTAGGCCACCAGAGCTCCCTTTTCATTGATATTTTAACAAAAGTTTACAGAAAACTTCTATTTCCATTTATTAATTTTTGCACATCCCCCCCCCCCAAAAAAAATATTTTCATCAAGTACTTTACCCTAATCCTTTACTGAGAGTAGATTGGTGAGTTTTTGGTTTGGTTTGTTCTGTTTTTTTGGTTTTCTTTGTATGATGTATCTGTGTTAATACTATGAAATATTTAGTATTTCATTTAGGTCCGCAATTAAAATCATTAATATTCTTTTACAGCTTTAACAACTGAAGATTTTTACACTTTTTTCCATAGAACTTTGAAAATTCATTTTTGTACATTGGGTTTTGTTACAACGTTTCTCTTTGTTCTTAGTTTTTAAATGTGTGTGTGTGTGTGTGTGTGTGTACCATTGAATCAGATCCAGCTGATACAAAAGGAGATTACCCCTCCTTCTCCAGCAGAGCATCTGATGGATTCAAACCCTTTGGGATTGCAGTGCAGCTTCTTCCTTTACAAGTAGATCGTGTCACTTTTAACTCTTTGAAGATTTTAGCTCATAGAATTTATGAAAGCAATGATATACCACTATGATTTGTTTGGATGTGTGCAAAGAAGTGATGATTTTCTGTAAGCAATCTACTGAGTATTGAGTCTTAAGCAAAGAGAAATGAAGTGGAGGCTTTCTTAATTTGAAATATGAACTTGTAGTAAAGTCTTTGAGTTGTTGAACATAGAAAACATTGTTTTGTAATAATGACAATATTTTATTATATTTCAGAAGACTTCTGCAGTGGATCCAGAACCACAAGTGAAATTGGAGGATATTCTCCCACTGGCCTTTACTCGTCTTTGTGAACCTAAAGAAGCTTCTTACAGTCTGATCAGAAAATACGTGTCTCAGTATTATCCTAAACTTAGAGTGGACATCAGGTAGGAGCCATTTGCTTGGATTTTAAAATGCACAGATTTTTGTTTACTAGACTTGAAGAAGTATTCTTCCCTTTGCTGTTTTTTCAAGAGAAGAAGGAAAGATGAAATATTTAGGAGGTGTTACTTTTAACTGAGCTAGAAATAAAATATATTTCTTTTGTCCTATTATTTTCCTTCTTATATCTCCATATGTAGTTCATTTTGAAGCTCAAACCACATACTCTCTTAAAAGACCCTGATAAAGTTGCACCTCGTTTTTGTTAGATGCTGCAAGAATAATTACTGAACTCTTCTTCCCAAGTGCTCAATGAATTTTTATTCAGACTTACAGCTGAGAACATTAAAAAAAAAAAATTCAAGTTTCTATAACATAGTGATTGTAACAATGGGCTGGAGCATGTGAGCGATTGTAAGAGTGGCACTGGATAGGGCAAGGTTCAGGTCTATTGTTCATAGGGTTGTTATGAGTCTTAGCTCGATGGTACCTACAACAACAGCAACTGCATAACAATAGTTTAATACCTTCATCTTTAAAGTAAATGATTTAATAATGTAATGTAAATGTAATGTAATTGATTTGTAAAAATTCGTGTTTAAAACATCATGATTCATGATTTAGAATAGCACATAGACTCAGTTGTGGATTCATACTGACTTGATAATTTTTTAATTTGTAATTAACAGATTAATTTTTTAATATTTTTTTAAAGATCTTCATTTAAGACGTTGGAAAATTGTATTTCATTCACTTTATGTGAGGGAGGAAATTCTATGGAATGCCATGTTCTAATATAGTTTAGTATTGGTATTTACTAGTGCTACTGAAGAATATAATTAGAGTTGCTCAGTTGTCAACTCAGAAACCACATTTTCCAAAAAGTACTTTATTGTATTCAAAATGCCTAAGAGAAAGAATAATGCTGAAGTAAAGGAGATCCTAGCAACGGAAAATCTGAAATTTGTTACATTATCTTGATCTTTCCATGTTTATTATATAGTGAATGTGCCCGTTTGTGTTTTTGTTGGTTTTTTTCCACCTTTTAAAAATTTTTGTTATTTTGTAATAAATCAGAGAATTGTAATAAATCCGGGAATGAATGTGCCCCTTTGTATAATAGTGATAGGAGCGCAGGGAACTGGATCAGAAATGCATTATATGGGGCATTACAGGGAACACATTTTGATTTTGCTTTTTATCTCCCTTAACATTTACTTGTCACCCACTGGAAATCATTAATTTTTTTTTCTCTCAATCTTTTATTCCTTATAGTCCCATCTACTTACCTAATACAATATATTTCTTCCAGCTTAACTTCTCTCACTGTTGGTCTTGTGAAACATTTCCCATCACTATCTTATGGTGAAACCGGATAATAGATTGTCTGTCCAATGATACTAATGAGCCTAAAGACCTTTTCTTTTTTTTTTTTTTTAAAAAAAGACCTTTTCTTAGAATTCTCTCCCCCTTCCCTTTATTTCTGTGACATCATACAGACTTCAGCTTCCAACTATAGTGGCATTCTTTCAGACGCAGATTTAACATTTGATGGATGTTTTGAAGTCAGCATGTTATATACATAGCCCCCTATGCAGAACACGTCTTTTGGTTTCTTTACTGCTATTTCCATGGTGTTGGTTGTGGACCCAAGTTAAATTATTGACAACTGCAGTCTTTTTTCCGTCTATCATAGTGTAGCCTGTAGAGCCAGTGGTAAGGATTTTTATTAACTTGATGTTGGGGTATAATCCATATTGAAGACCATAGTCTTTGATCTTCTGTAAGTGCTTCAAGTTCTTTAAGCAAATTTGTGTCATCTGGGTAATGCAGTTTATTCAAATTAGTATATTTTACCCATTTGGTACTAGTAATTTCCTGAGAGGTGTGGCACATAACTTATTTCAGAATTATAATTAGTCCCTATCCTCAAGTATTTTGTTGTCAGCCTAGAAATACAGCTTTGTGTTTGACTCTGCCTTCTGTTTTTCATGTCACAGTCCTCTTTTTTAGTTCTTCTCTTGCCTTCCCTGTACTGTTGGTTTTTCAGTTATCATCCGGATAGACTAACCCCTTGAATGAAAAGCTTGTGCTCTAACGTTTAGTTATATGTAATAACTTTTATTTTGTTTTCAAAGCAACAGATTGTCTTTCTAAAGGAATTATATTTTATTCAGCTAACTTTACATAATAAAGTGTTAAAACTTTAGATCTGAGAATAGCTCTTAGATCTATTTCTCAAATAGTTCCTTCACTGATATATTTATCTCTGATTTTTATTTTTCTCTTCAGACCTCAGCTGTTGAAGAATGCTCTGCAGAGGGCAGTAGAGAGAGGCCAGCTAGAACAAATAACTGGCAAAGGTGCTTCAGGAACGTTTCAGGTTGGTTATGATGAATTTGTCAAACTTTTTGTTTTTTTCTCTTAAGAAATGTATTGAGGACAAAAAAAAATTTTGTGATTTTGTAAACTGTATTTGTCAGTATTTAAGTACTAAAAGGTAAAACAGGAAAATTTTAAACATTTATTGAGTTAACGTAATAAGTAGTGAATCTGTTATATGTTAACATAAGTAACATTTTTCATATGTGAAAAGTAATTTTTTTAAATGAAAATTTTAATAGATGACATCAATTCTATTTTTGTAAATTTTTTCATAAAACAAGAGAATGCTTAGCAGAACACAAGTAGACTCTTTTCTAAGATATTTTGGTTGACATATATGAAGAAAATCTCATTTCACAGATAAAATACTGTTAGAAAAACTATATTTTAAATAGCTGTAAGTAGTCTTCATATACTACACTAAAACTCACATGGTAGATTTTCTTAAACAGCTTTGTTGAGATAGGATTTGTATTCCGTAAAATTCACTTATTTTATGTTAAAAATCTAGTGATGTTTAATAAATTACAGAATTTTTATTATTTTTTTTAAATTCTTTTTGTGTGTGTGTGTACCGTCAAATCAGATCTGACTGGTACAGGAGGAGATTATTCCTCCTTCTCCAGCAGAGCATCTGGTGGATTCAAACCACGCACCTCTAGGATTGCAGTTAAATTACAGAATTGTAGTGTCATCATCCCAGTCTAATTTTATTACATTTAAATGTAGTCATTCCCTGTCCCACCCCTCTCCCAGGACAGCTTATAAAGATCTGCAGTCTTTATACATAGATTTGTCTTTTCTGCACAGTTCATTTAAATGGAACATAGAATGTATGATCTTGGTGTTTGGTTTCTTTCACTTCAGTTTTGTGTTTTGTCCATGTTGCATGTGTTAGTGCTTCATTTCTTTCCATTGACAAATAATATGTCATTGCATGGATATAACACATTTTACTTACTACTCAGTCAACCAGCTAATGGATTACATTTGGGCTGTTTCTGCTTTTTTGACTCAAGTTGTTTGTTCATTTTCAGGATAGTTTGTCTGCTTCGAGTTCAGTATATGTCCATGTAAACTTCCGTGTAAATCCCAGTAACTGCCTACCCATTAGCTTGTACAAACAGCCAAGCTCAGATTGTGGTAGAGATTCCATTGAACCTGTAAATCTATTTGAGAGAATCACTGTCTTAACAGTGTCAACTTTCCAGTCTGAATGTTACCATACTCAGTGTTTCTTCATTTTCCTCAATTTGTGTTTTTTAGCATACAGATCTTGCATTTCTTTAACCAAAATTATTCCACAGTATTTTACTCCTTTTCCATACTAGTATGAATAAAATTGCTTTTGTTTTCAGATTATTTGTTGCTAATATGGAGGAGTACATTTGAGTGTATCTTTTTGTTAAGCTGAATTCAATTGTTCTAGTAATAGTTGATAGATTGCTTGGTAGGATCATGTTGTCAGTGAGTCAAGATCATTCTTATGTCTCCTTTTTCAATCTAGATACCTTGTATCTTATTTTCTTGCTGATTCCACTGAATAGAACCTCCAGTATATTGTTGAGTAGAGATGAGAGCACAGTAGCCTTGACTTGTTCCTGATGTTGTTGTTGTTGTTATCTGCCATCGAGTCGTTTCCGACTCATAGCGACCCTATGCACAACAGCTCTAAACCCCGCTCTATCCTGCGCCAACCGCACCACCTCTGACACACCCATCCCGATTACCCCAGTCACCGAATCAATCCATCTCATAGAGGGTCTTCCCCTCCTGCGCTGTCCCTCCACCCTCCCAAG